TTTAGTCCGTGGGCTGTAATGTTTGGGCTACGAACTCGACATGAAGAGCTTTTACTGATTCAGTTGGAGCCTGAAATGTTGTTCTCAGATTTCTGAGAAGTTTGTAAAATCTAAATTTGGTGAAAAGTTGCCTGCGTGCTCATAACCTCGTGTTCCATTTTATAGTAGCATGGGAGTCTATAAACAGGAGCTCTGTATGCTGAGTGCCTGTATTCTTTTCTAGATCTATTTTTAAACCATTCTTCTGTTTGGCAAAAAGTGACACTTGGTTTCCATGTTTACAGCAGGCATTGGCAAACCTCAGGAGTTCACAGTTTGCAGTTTGGTTGGATGAGTATCCAGAAGTCAGCATCTGACCAGTAAACTCCCTTCAGACTGCAAATGTAGTCCTCCCTGCCTTTTTTTTCTTTTTTTAATCCATGCTAGCTCTTGTGTTCCCATTGCTGCAGGATGCTGGCAGCCAAAGATACATGCCCCTACATCAGAGCAAGTGTGTAGGCTTCAGGACTGCTTTAAAACTCCAGCAATCTCAGGGCACTGGGAGAGGGGAGGAATTTTGGGGCTATATTGTTGACCTCCCCCTTCCTCCTGGTCAGTGTGCTTCCTTTGGGCTGAATGCTGGAGAAATGTGGGATCCCTGCTTACAGAGGGGAGAGCTTGGGACAAGCACATTGTAGGTCCTGGAGAACATGTCCTGTAGGACAGGGCACCCTCTGAAAGGGTCTCCTTAAATCTGTATGGTTAAATAAGCATAAGGGTGAGGGGATATCTCTCCCCTGGCCACGGGACCACAAGATGGATACATGTGGTGTCCCATTCAGACGGGATGCTAGAGCAGTTCCTTGTCGCCAAGGTGAGCTGTGCCAACCTCAGCCCCAGGAGGACGGAGACAGGGAGGGGACAGTAGGTGCCAGCTGGTGATTTACTGTCCTGGTGCAGGATGGGGATCACAGGTCACCTCCTCTGAGCCCAGCTGGGCCAGAGACGTGGCTCAGCTGCTGGGAACACCCGGTTCCAGCTGCACCTTGCTGTCAGGTCAGCACCACGATGCAGGGCTCGGTGTTGGCAAGGCATGGTATCTGTCCCTTGGTTTCTGGAGTAGCTACCTCAGTTTCAGCTGGGACATAGTTCCTGCTTTTCCTTGAAAAATTAATGTGTCAAATTGCTTGGGGTCGTTTGAAGTGCTGAAGAAGGGTTGACTGCTCGCTTCCCAAGGGCACACTCTGCCTCTCAGGCAGAGCTTGGCTCCGTGGAGGGCAGGGGAGTCCTCTCCAGTGGAAAACATTGGAGGCAGTTTTGGTGTGCTTCCCGCCCCCTCTGCATTTTCTTCTGCAGAGACCAAAACAATGTGGAGACTTGAGCCGGGCCAGCTTTCAAGGGCAATCCTTTTAAACCCTCTTTTGAAGTACAAACTATAAAGTTCCCTGCAGCGCTCGAGAAAATATGCAGTTTTCCTGGTTCCAAATGCTGATAATAAACCCGTCCAGATAATGTATTGCATTTCCTAGAAACATTTGTTTGCTGGCAGGAAATTGGATCAGATTGAAAGTTAGCAGAGACCGCTCGATAGAGCGAGCGCAGTCCCCTCACGGAAGGGTACGGTGGAAAAAAACGGCAGGGCTTGCACTAGGGATGCTGCTTTTGATCTGTGCTGACACTGAGCGCTAGGACTGCTCTCGGTCTCTTCTTGGGTTATTATTAACCCAGCCACGTTTTGGCCTAGACGCCAACCAGAAGCTACTAAATTAATAAAACTCAGCTGTGACAGCTAAAGGATGCTTAGTGCCCCCTGATTGCCTGACATCAGGAAAGCTGAGCTGGGTGCTTGCACAGCCCCAGCCAAGACCATCCTCTTGGATGCTTGTGGCATCCAGGACTGTGCCCAGGGGCTGCCCCCCTGACCAGGCTGGTTTTTTGATTGTCTCTCTGGTCCCTCTTCAGGAGGAACTAGCCATCCTTCAGCAGGGTGGAGGGGCAGCTGGCCATGTGCCCTGGTGGGTGTGGAGGGTGTTTCTGTAGGGCTGGGACCCTGCAGGGTGCTGGGACTGGGGAGGAAGGGGAGGCAGGATGGAGCTTCCCCTTGGGCGGGCAGTTTCAGAGTGCTGTGTGGGATGAGGCAGTGGGGAAGGAAGATGTGAGGGAGACGGTGCTGCCAGCTCTAGAGAGGTAGGAGACTGGGGCCCACAGGGGGAGGGTGGTTTGTATCCTTGACATTTGGGAGTGGGAGGGGGCAAAGACCCTTGGGTATCCCCCATGCAAAGAGGGGTGGGGGGAAGAAAGAGTCTCCCCTGTCCACAGGGCAGGAGGAGGATGGATGAAAGGGGATTCCCTATAAAGAGGAGAACAGATGGATGGAGGGCTTTCCCTGTGCATGGGAGAAAAATGGATGGGAAGGCAGAGGAGGGAAGTCCCTAGTTCTCCCCTTTACCCTTGTGTGTGGGAGCTGTGAGGGTCTCCCCTTTGCATGAGGTGGAGCTGAGGGGTTCTCCTGCAGGTGGGTGTTCCTTCCCAATGCTTGCCCAGCTGGCCATAGGGAGGGCAGAGCCAGCCCTGAACTCCCTTCCAGGAATGGGTTTTCTCGGGGAGGTGCCGGCAGGGAAGGGCTGTTCGCTGACCCGCTGGGGCAGACCCATTGCCTTCCTGGAAGGCAGAGCAGTGGCAAGTCCCATGTGGCCATCCCCGAAATGGGCCCCGTGCCTGGCCCAGATTTTCTCCAGGCAGAGCGAGCCCTGGTATCCCTTCGAGGAATGGCTTTTCTCGGGGAGGTGCCGGCAGGGAAGGGCTGTTCGCTGACCCGCTGGGGCAGACCCATTGCCTTCCTGGAAGGCAGCAGCAGAAGCAGTCCCATGTGGCCATCCCCGAAATGGGCCCCGTGCCTGGCCCAGATTTTCTCCAGGCAGAGCGAGCCCTGGTATGCAGCCCCGAGCACTGCCAGGGATCCCACACCTGTGAGGTACCAGGCAGGAAGACCGGGGCGGGGGGCTTGGGGTGATGCTTTGGTCCTTGCTGAGCCTTGGGGAGCCTCTTGGGCTTTCAGGGAGGGGGTGGAGAAGGCCGTGCTTGGCTGTAGTGGTCTTCTGTGCTCCCCACTGCTGGTCTCCGTTCCTTGTTGCCATCTCCTCTGCTGGGATGCAGAGCTGGTGCTGTGCGGTGGCTGGGAGGGGCAGGGTTAACCCGCTCAGCACAGCAAGGGGAAGGAAGGTCCCTTTCCCTTTTTTGTGCCCACATCCTGCAGCTGGGAGCTGCTTGGGATGCACCTGCCTGGCTCGGGGGCAGTGAGTGTTGCAGCAGCGCTGTGCTGGGGAGGGGTGATTTGGGAGGGTGGAGAGTGGGCTGTGGCAGGATCCAGCTCTGGGAGAGGAGCTGAGTGTGCGGGAATTTGAGTGCTCTGGCTGGGCAGCGCTGTTTCTGAGGGAATTTGGCGGCGGCAGCAGCTCCTCACGTGATGCTCACGGGCACAGAGTTCACCTCACAGTTTGTAACTTGGTTGGTTTATGCCTATGTCACCTCTCCGTGTCTGTGACACCGGGGTGAGCTGCCGGGAACCAGGCACAGCGTGTCTGCTGGTGTGGCCGAGGTCAGGGTACCAGCTGGCTACCCCAAATGCGTAGGTCCATGTGGACACAGGGGTGCACGCTGGGCTCTTTGCAGAGCGCTGCAAGTTCCTTGGCTTACGATTTATGGGAGCGAGTGGCTGGCAGTGAGCATGTACAGAAAGGTCAGAGCCTGCAGTATGTGGGAAATGAGTCATTTTTTTGTGAGTGTGTAAAGTTTTAAGCCAGCTAGGCTCAGAGTGGCTCTGAGGATCTGCATTTGATGGCTGGAACAGGGCTGTAAGACACCCCTCTGGGTTTTGCACGTGATACATTGCCTTAAATCTCAGCTCTGCATCCAGCCACCATCTCTCTGGGGTCGTGAGACCGTTGGGCTCCAGATCTGCAGATCTCCAGCAAGGGAGAGGAAAGGAGACACTTCTCCTCAGAGGGCTTTGTGGGCTCTCAACAAGTGCTGGCAGCCTTACTGTTTTCATCCAGATTTAAGGACCAGGGATTGGCCCTTAAAATAGAATGATAAAGGTCTTGGGGTTTGTTGGTTCACTTATTTATTGTGCTTCTTCCTGCTGGGACTGCTGCCTGGGGACATTCTTCCTGCCTTGGTGCCAGGTCAATTGTCTTTCTTGGGTTTAAGTGAATTTGAGAGTGCTAGTGTGAGTTCTGGAAGGTAGTTATCTCCTGGGTTTTCTTGCCCTGCTGCCCCAGGCACGTTTCACATGAAGCCGGTGGCAGGAGACAAAGCTTGTGGTTTGGGGAAGGCTTTGCCAGCAGCCAGAGGAAAGTACTTGTTCTGGGTCCTCATCCATCCCCACTACTGACTTCCTCTGTGATCCTGGCCAAGCCACTTTGGTACTTGACACCCATATCCTCCCAGGTCTGTTCAGCAGTCCTGTCACAGGGTGTTTTCACCAGTGGCTTGAGCACATGGATATTCAGAGAAGGGCGGTACCTGTTTCAGAGGACTGGATTGTGGCTCTTTCCAGGTTTCTGAGGAGAGTGTCAGCAGATGCTTGCGTGTAAGTCATAACTGTTAACAAGGTGCTGGGAATATGGCATTGGTCTTGGATGTGGCACTGGCCTGGAATTTGATCTTGGCAGGGCAAGAGTTATCTCTGAAAGAAGTGGTGAGAAAATTCTCGCTTGACTTCCCTTCCCCACCTGCCTTTAAGTTCCTGAGTCATGGAAATGAAAATCTCCTTGGCATACGCCCATGGTTTGGGCTAGAGGGTGTGGAAGAAGCTATGATTGGATTCTCGAAGCCTGTGGTTGTGATAAGAACATACTGTACCGGAAGAAACAAATGTTAACCTTGCTGGAGAGTAGAAGGTTTGTTATCTCTAGCGTTTATCCAGCTGATACTCGAGCGAAACAGCAGGCTTGTGTCCTACCATGGCCAATTCCTAATTACCAGCTAATGTGGCATTTGTTTTCTTGTGCTTTATTTGTAGGTTTGAAAGAAACTTTTGGACTGTGAATTGAGGCATTGGGTATGTAAATTTAAATTTTGTGCTTCCCCTCCTACCCCCCCCTCCCTTCCCTTTACCATGTTGAATGAAATGTTTCATTAGACCCAGCTGGAATTTGTTTTCAGGAGAGCAGCTGCTCTGTAGAAAATGCTGTATGTTTATATGCCACTGGGGAAGGAGGAGGAGCTGGGGTTGTGGGAGAAGGTTGATCATGGAGGAATTTGACACTGAAGATGCATATTCCAGCCCAAACTTCAGGCAAAGAGAGACATGGGTTCTCCAGGGTGCTGGCTGGGAGAACACCTCTGAGATAGGTTAACAGATGTTTTGTTGGGGGAAGACTTCATGTTCCTCGACAAACCCAAGCTTCGTTCACTGGGAGAGACAAGGCTGGTGGTGTGGGTAGCAGCCCAGCAGGTCAGATGAGTTCTGTCCCTCACTGCCACCACGGATTGATTGGGAAACTGTGGACAGGTCTTCTCCAGAGTGGCTGCCACTTGGGAGCAGGAAATAGTTTGCTGGTGGGTGAGGGCTGGTGCTCCACTTTGGGATTGTTCAGATGTTGAAATCATTTAGCTTCAGTTGGGTCCTTCAAGACTTATTTTGATTCCCATTACTGCCTTTGCAGCCAGCCAGCAGACAGATAAGGGGGATGGCTCCTGAGGAAGACCTGAAGGCTGGGAAGCTGTGTTGGCGGCTTCATGGAGATGAGCCTGAGTGCTGGTGGGAGGAGTGGGCTGGGGTGGAGCTGCCATGGGTGAGGCAGGGAGAAAGAGGAGCTGGTTAGCTAATCCTCAGGAGGGTCTGGTTGCCTTCACCTTCCAGCTTGCTGGGTGGGACTGAGACATGCTGGGTGTCGCTGCTGGCCTAGAGACCTCACCAGGCAGCCTGGCAGGCACTTGGCTTGATGCAGGACTGTTTGTTGTGGTACCCAGGAGCTAGTGCTGTCTCTACCAGGGGCAGCTGGCTATCTGACCACGTCCCAGAGCAGCAGCTGTCTCTTTGCTGGGTGTAGAGTGCTCCCTAGCTGCATCCCCAGTCCCATCATCCTCCTGCTTCTGTTTTGAGCAGACTCAAGATGGCCTCGCCAGCAGACAGCTGCATCCAGTTCACCCGCCATGCGAGTGATGTCCTCCTTAATCTCAACCGCCTTAGGAGCCGGGATATCCTGACTGACGTCGTCATCATTGTGAACCGGGAGCAGTTCAGAGCCCACAAAACAGTCCTGATGGCCTGCAGGTGAGAGCAGGGTGTTGTCGTCCCCCCCTCTGGCTACACTGTTGTATCCCTCGGGAGGCTCGTGGGCTTTACAGATAGGGAGACAGACAAAGAGAAGCAGAACTGAAAAGGAGCTGCCAAGAAATTTGTACCTGCAATGGGATTAAAGCCAAGAACCTTTATCTCCAGCACAGTGCTCACACCTCTCTTCTTGCATGCCCACACCTCTCTTCTCCTTGCACATGCCAATATCTGCCCATGGAGACAAACAGGAGCACAGCAGCACATCCCTGAAGGCAAAGGCAAGCACTCTGCAGAGACAGGACACGAGAGGGGAGGGAGGGCTGGATGCTCACTGGGGTGGGCAAGTCCTCTGTGACTGCAATGTCCCCTGCTACTGCTATTTTTAGAGCTATTCCTCCCTGACTCCCAGACTGCTGTCTGCACCCACCTTTTCCCATTTTAAAAAAAATTTTTTTTCATGCCTGGTGGGGTCTGAAATCCCTTTCCAGCTCCTAGAATTGCTGGAACTGCTTCCTAGTGAACACTAATTAACATTCCACCATTGCCCAGTTGGATTACAGCAGATGCCTTCCAGGGTCTCCTGCTGACAAGGTATAAAGATTTGAAAAACCAAGGTTTGACTGTTGAGATGTCTGAAGAATGTTTTGCCAACATTTCCTTTTTTTTCTTTGGTTGTTTTTTTTTTTCCTCCCTGATTCAAGAGCAAGTGTGAATGCCCCAAGAAGCTTCTGAAAGAAATGACTCACAGTGGGAAGGGGGTGGTGGTAGGAACAACAACAACAACAAAAAGGGGAATTTCTAAATGGAGGCAGTGGGGAGTTGTTGAGCAGGTGAGATGTAAAAGCAGGCTGTTCCAGTTGAGAAAAGTGCAGTGCAGAAGATGCTTACTAAGTTGAGAAACCAAGCTTGATAATAAGGGGGAAGCTCAAGGAATTCTGTAACTGCCTCCTCCTCCCTTCCCATTCACAAACCCCTCTGTGCTAAGGGATTTCAGACAAATTTTCCTTTTTCCCTCTGAATTGTCATAACACTACCTTCTCTCCTGTCTCCTCTCTGTAGTGGCCTCTTCTACAGCATCTTCACTGACCAGCTCAAGTGCAACTTGAATGTTATTAACCTGGACCCTGAAATCAATCCAGAGGGGTTTTGTATCCTCTTGGACTTCATGTATACATCCCGCTTGAACTTGAGGGAGAACAATATCATGGCCGTGATGGCCACAGCACTGTACCTGCAGATGGAGCACGTGGTTGATACCTGCCGAAGGTTTGTCAAGTCTAGGTGAGCTCCGGGAGTGAACTTTGGAGAGCCTGGGATGGTGTGTTTGAGTGGGAGGGGGAAGAACTGACAAAGCATCTGCAAACTTATCCTGAAAATGACTGTCTCTCTCTCCTTTTTGCCTGGTTCCAGTGAAGCAGAGATGGTGCCTGCTGTGAAGACCCCAAGGGAAGAGTTTTTGGCTGGACGAATGCTGAGCCACCCAGAGGTGATGGCTTATCGGAGCAGAGATGTCTCAGAGAACAGCATGCCTCTCCAAAACGGGTCCCTCTGCAATGGGAGGGCTTTTGCACCTGGCTTGATCAATAGTTTGTCTGGATCCCCCATTTCCTACCATGGATACAGCCCTCTCCCTCTAAACAGCTTCCTTGTGGACGATGAGTTGCGGGAGATGAGGATGCCTCTCTCCGAACTCTCAAGGGCAGGTGCCTTCCCCAAGGAGAGGATTCTGCCATGTGACAGCTCCAGGACAATCCCCACCGAGTACATGAGAACCATTACTGACATCTCGGCCAACATGTGCCATGCTACCATCTATGCTCCAAAAGAAGGTGCTGCTGAAGAAGCCAGGAGTGACATGCACTACAGCGCAGCCTCTGGCCCCAAACCTGTTGTCCCTTCGATCCGGAACAATCCCTATTTCTCTTGTGACAAAGTGGCCAAAGAGGAGGAACGGACCTCTTCAGAGGATGAGATCAGCCAGCACTTTGAGCCCACCACCACCCCCCTGGACCGCAAGGGACTTATCAGCCCCCAGAGCCCCCAGAAGTCAGACTGTCAGCCTAACTCGCCAACCGAGTCCAGCAGCAGCAAGAATGCCCGTATCAGCCAGAGCTCCACCTCCCTCTTCACCAAGAGCCCCACAGATGCCAAAGCCTGCAACTGGAAGAAGTATAAGTTCATTGTCCTCAACTCTCTCAATCAGAGCACCAAGCAAGACAGTGCTGACCAGAATGAGATGGGAACCCTCTCTCCTCGCACTTACATGCCCATGTCCACTTGCCAGCAGTCCATGGAGCCAGAGCATCTCAACGTGCAATCCCCCACCAAGATGAGCGTGAATGGAGAAGACTCTACTATCCCACAAGCAAGCAGACTCAACAATATCGTTAACAGGTGAGATGATTCCCTCGCTGTCATGTGAGACGGGGCTCCCTGTGATGTTGGTGAGGATTAGGAAGTGTGTAAAATAGCTGTAGCATTAGGCTGGGGAGTCCAGCCACAAGCAGGTAGAAGCCTCTGCATTTGATGGAGCACTGCCAGTGACACCAGCTAGGTGACACCTGTTCCCTCCTTAGTAGTGTTAGCCTGGCCTGGAGATGGAATTGGGACCACTGGGTCAGGAATCCCTTGCTTCACTTCAGCAGCTCTGGATAGTTTCTGAATTTGCACAACATGATTTTTCACCAGACTCCCTGTGCCTCCAGCTTTTGATTGGCTGTAAGCCTCGGAGAGGCCAAACTACCAGGGAACAGTATGCTGTCTTCTGTACTTGGATGTTCTTAGACATCCTTGAGGTTGCTTGATGATGGGCACCTGTAGCATTGAGGCTCAGGGACCTTTTGTTGGTCAGGGCTCTTCTGTGCATCTCACCACAAAAGTGGCCCCATAAAACACGGCTGTCCCTTGTGTCTGGAAGGGTGCAAACAAAGGCCCAGTAGCTCAAGCACAGCGAGAGCCTTCTCATGGCTTTGTGCTTTGCTGTCCTTCCACAGGTCCCGGGATGGGTCCCCTCGGAGCAGCGAAGGGCAGTCCCCGCTGTACATGCATTCGTCGAAGTGCAGCTCCTGTGGCTGCCAGTCCCCACAACATGCTGAGATGTGCCTTCATACCCCTGGCTCAAACTTTGGAGAGGAGATGGGGGAAACCCAGTCTGAATACTCTGACTCCAGCTGCGGTGAGTCTTGCATCTCTAGTCATCTTTTTTAACCAGCAGGCAAGGGGGCTGTGCACTCTGGGGACCCATACAACCAGTGTCCTGTGTCAGGCAGTCAGACCTGTCCCTGATGCTGGTGGATCCCAAGGTACTTTGCAGTTCCCTCCTAACTGGCTGACCAGCTGTGTACATGCGTGTGGGGGACAGGCGCACATGGGAATTACTTCCTTCCTCCCCTTGCCCAGCACTGTCCAGATGCCTTGGGCAGGGAGTTAGTCACCTGCTTCAAACTTGGCAGCCAAGGACAGGAAACATAGTGCACCCCACCCCATCAGAACCACAGGAGAACAAGCTTGGCATATGTAATGACCCTAATGGGGATTGGGCAAGATGGTGTGTCTCATGTATCTGTCATGATACCTTCATTATCAGGGAGCACAACGTGCACATCTGGAGAAATGCAGATAATGAAGCTTGCAATCTCATTGCAAAACTCTACAAGCCCAGAGACAAGTATCTGTGCACCCATCTGCCTGTAGCTCAGGGAGGAGGAATGCAGAATTGTCACCTGTGGTGTGGGCACAGATCCACAGAGGGATCCATCACAGTGGTGATGCTCAAAGCTACATACAGCATTTAAGAGTTAGGCACTCCCCTACTGGAGGGACTTGTCTTCTGTGTCAGATGATTATGGTCTTCCTATGATTAAGGAAGACTTCTGTACATGTAAAGGTTTAAGATCTCTAAAGGTGCTGGAGTTACTCCAGAACTGAGCATCCATCCTTCAGAAGATGCCTGATAACTTGGGTGCCTCTCTGGACCTCTCTGAAAGATGTCCAGGTGAAATGCTGGCTTTCTGGAAGCAGCTTCTGTCTCACCAAAGGAGAGATGGCTCATGGTGGCTTTGTTCTCAAGCCATGCATGGTGTTGCTTTGTGCATAAGGAGGTCAGGAGATAATGGCAAGGGGCAGGCACCATTGAGCACAAATGTCTGGGCTTGTCTCCTTGTTCCAAAACTTGTTCTGGTTTCCCCTCTTCACCATCCCAACCTCATCCTAAAGCCCATCAAGGAGGTAGCCCATGCCTTGCCCATCTCATTGCTCTTCTCTCTGCTCTCCCAGAGAATGGAGCCTTCTTTTGCAATGAGTGTGACTGCCGGTTCTCTGAGGAAGCCTCTCTCAAGAGACACTCTCTGCAAGTCCACAGTGACAAGCCCTACAAGTGTGACCGCTGCCAGGCCTCCTTCCGCTACAAGGGGAACCTTGCCAGCCACAAAACCGTCCACACAGGTACAGTGTCAGCCATGGGGACATCTTACTGGGCAGGCTGCAGGTTGCTGGGCATGCGGGTGTTTACAGCTGGGTTCATCCCACACATGGTGTCCCCAGCTCTGTCATCTGCTGTCCCCCAACGGGAAGAGCAAGATGCTTTTCTTAGCACTGCCAGGGAGCACCGAACCTGGGAATGGGGAAGATAACTCCTGGCCTAGCAGCAGGGCTGGAGTTTCAGCTCCTTTACTGTAAAGCACTGAGCACTGCCATTTCTAAAGGCAGCTCTGCAAATTGCATGGCTGGGAGCAGATGCATGGCCTCCAGGTTACCTTATGATAGACTTAAAAAAACACTTAGGAGTAAGTCTGGGATATTTCAACCCCCCCTACATCCTAGAAATCCAGATTGTTTCTAGCCTGGCAGAAACTCTGCTGATGGGAAAATCTGTGAACAGACGGACTCTGTGAATCAGCACAATGAAAGCTGAGAAAGGAAGGGGATATTAAGGGTTTAGTCATTTGCTGACAAACCTGGGGATTTTTTTTCATGCTTTTATTAATGCTGAACATGTCAACAACCAGTCTGGTGGCTGGGGAAGGGAAGTCTGTGCTAATGACTTGGTGCTGCTGAACTGTGTTAGGAATAAAGTCCAGCAGCCTCAGCTGAGCTCCAGGAGGGCTGTGCAGGTGGGTGAGACAACACAAGTGCCAGGGCAGGGCTCAAGGGTGTGTAGGGTCAGAGCATGGAAACAAAAATGGCAGGAAGGGGGAGGTGATGGCTGTTCCTTTGAGTTCACCCTTCAGCCATTCTAAAGAAACTAGTTAAAACCTTTTTCCAGCTCCATCCATCACCAGAAAGTCAGGCAGGGCCAGCAGAGGTGAATGTAGCTGAATGATACTTGGGAGCTGGGTTGCTGGGCTCTCCGCTCCATCAGGTCTTCTTGCTCTTCTGAAGAGGTGATGAATGGCTGAGGTAGGATGTGCTGGGGACCACAAAGAGTCTTAAAAGAACCAAGTGGCCCTGAATGGCTTGTCATGGCTGTAGGGAGACACAGGTGCCAGCTGCTGTTGCAGGGCCAGGAGGAACAATACTGTTAATCCTTGCTGGCAGAGCTGCCCAGCTTTCTCTTGCCCTGAAGGCTGCAGCTCCCAATTCTAAAAAAAGGTACCTGCAGTGCCTGGGTGCCCCCTGAGCTCACTCTCCTCTGGGGACACACCGAGCTGTCCTGACCAATGCTGCTTATCCAGCCATCTCCAAAAGCAACAGGAGCCAGGGCTAGTGCTTCATAACATGGGGTCTGGCACTTGAAGGGACTTAAGTTTGGGGAGCACCATGGATTGCAGGGGCTGAGCATGCCAGCACTTCATCCCTCACCCTTTCTTTTGGGCTCCACAGGAGAAAAGCCGTATCGCTGCAACATCTGCGGGGCGCAGTTCAACCGGCCGGCCAACCTGAAAACTCACACACGCATCCACTCCGGAGAGAAACCCTACAAGTGCGAGACCTGCGGGGCCAGATTCGTTCAGGTGCGTGTGGTCTCTGGGACCTGCAGTGTCTGGGGAGGTGACACACAGACACACCTCCTGCCCAAGACCACTGCTGCTTCATAGCAGGGCGGAGGCTGATGGGCTGTGCTTGCTGCCTTGGACAGCTCTTTCCATGGTGTTGTGGGGCAAACAGGAGCCTCAAGGTTCGTTTGGGCCAGTTTGGCTTAGTAGGAAGCCTGACTGCTGGTTTCAGCTTCTCTCCTCCATTTGCTGATAAAGATTGGAGATAGCAGACCTTAAGCATGTGGCCCTGACTCCCAGCTACAACCCAGTAGACCAAAAAAGAGGCAAATGGGCAGAACCCTGGTGGGATTCTTGTGCTCTTGGTGGGGTGTGCTCATCCCTGGGACTGTCCTCACCCAGAGCTGCTCTCTCTAGGTGGCCCACCTCCGTGCTCACGTGCTCATTCACACCGGGGAGAAGCCATACCCCTGTGAGATCTGTGGCACACGCTTCCGGCACCTGCAGACCCTCAAAAGTCACCTTCGAATCCACACAGGAGAGAAACCTTATCATGTGAGTGACCCTGCTTTTTTCTTGTTTCTTTTTTTTTTTTTTTTTGGTGGGGGAGGAGGGTTGGCTGGGTGCTCTCATCTGGGACTGGGGGAGGATGCTGCCAAACCTGGGGGACTGGGAAGACACCAGGGCATTCACATGGGCTGATTGCAGCACCCCAATGCCCTTTGCCATCTTCATGAGATCCCAAGGTCATGTCCCTGCTCCTCATGCCCCATCCTCCTCTCATGCTTTGGCTGATGCTGATGTGCTGTTTTGTCGTGAGCGGCTGCATTGGAAACACTGACGTGCAGCTCAGGCTGAGTGTGTCTTAGCTGCTCTTCTTTTTTCCTCACTTCATCTGGAAGAAGGTCACACTTCTCCAAATAGCTGTGGCTTAAATTACAGATGTTGGCTGTGTGTAAGGATGGGGAAAGGAGCAGACAAGCCTGGCCTGGGGTCCCTGTGCTAGTGTCACCTGCATTCAGTGAGCAGCCTGGCCTGCCTTGCTTGCAGCCCTGGGGGTTCCCAGCTCTCTGAGCCTCTCTGGCTTTCCCCATCCACTAGAGACAGAACTGAAGCAGGGTTTTGTGTCCAAACATTCCTCTGGAGCCATCCAAGGGTCAAAAGTAGCTCCTGAAATAGCCCTGGAGCTGATTTGAGTATTTAGGTAAGGAGCTTGGCCCTACATCCATCAGAGCCAGGGTCTTCTCCTAAGGGACCTCAGCCATTGTGCATCCCATAAAGTGAAACATGGGATGGGGTGTCCCCGGCTGCCACTTCTACTGCATCCCCACTTTTCCCTTGTCCACTGGTATCATGGGGTGGCTGGTGGAGGAGGGACATTGGCCACGGGACTCCCCTACCATCTCTGCCATCACATTTCACACCGTGTGCCTTTGCCTCTCTCCGCGCAGTGTGAGAAGTGCAACCTGCATTTCCGCCACAAAAGCCAGCTGCGGCTCCACCTCCGGCAGAAGCACGGGGCCATCACCAACACCAAGGTGCAGTATCGCATCTCGGGCAGCGAGGTGCCTCCAGAGCTCCCCAAAGCCTGCTGAAGGCAGATTTCCAAGGAGGAGGTCGTCTTGTGGGCTGGGGGGTTGGGGGGGGGCGGGGGAGGAGCTGTCCAAAGGATACTTGCAACACTTTACAAGGAAAAAAAAAAACAGAACAAAAACAAGGAAAAAAAAAAGAGGAAAAAAAGAAAAATGAAAAAAATGAATCACATGATGGAGTGCCTCTAAACCCATACTGCAGATAGGTGGAAAAAACATGAGAAATTAAAAAATTTTTAAAAAATTACAAATACACGGGTTTTATTTTTCCCAGTTATGTGAAACAAAAAAAAGAAAAATAGAATTATTCAGATCTTACTGTATATAAACCATTAAAAAAAATTAAAAATAGTCATTTTAAATGTCTGTGCAGTGGAGTGTTGATAAACTCTGGAGTCTAAACCTTCACAGCCTTTGCCGTTTGAAGATGAGGAATGTAATGTTGATTTATGGGAACAGATTTTTTTTCTTTTGTATGCAAAATGTGTGTTCTTTTAAAGAGAAAGTATGCTATTAAAGAGAGGGCTTTAACTTTTTTAACCAAAGGTGAAGGAATCTATGGCAGAGTTGTAAATATATATAGATATAAATATATAAATATATATATAAAAT